TCAAACGTGGAGCTGCAGTTCTTCCCACCGAATTGTACGTCCCTGATTCAGCCGCTCAACCAGGGCATTATCAACAGTTTGAAGTGTGCATATCGTAGGCGGCTGATCGATAAGCTCCTTCTCAACCTTCGCTTGAAACGCTCAACGAACGTGGACATTTTCCAAGCACTGGAGATGCTCTCCGCGTCTTGGAAAGCCACGACGGACGGAACCATTCAGAACTGTTTCCGGAAAGCTGGGTTTGAAACTCCTCCAGCGTCAACAGCCAGTGCTCTCGGGGAAGGAAGCGGAAGTGCTCCCACAGTATCGTCCTTTCCAAGTGAAGATGAGACGGAGTCAAACCAAGAGGCACTTCTGGGAGCATGGCAGTCCCTCCGTGGCGACGGTGTTGTCCCCGACGATGTCTCTCTGGACGACTACCTCTACGGGGACTCGTGCGTCGTTGCAACGGAAGAGGTCTCTGACGCTTCCATCGTGCAGGATGTGGTCGGGAACTCGACGGAGGACGACGACGATTCTGAGGCCGATGCTGAAGAAACTGCCGAGATCCCGAGCACTCGGGAAGTGCTCGATGCAATGGACGTACTGAGGAGGTACACGGCGTCGCATGGGCAGCAAGACGCCGTGCAAGCGCTCTGGGCGCTCGAACGCCGTATGACGCCGCTGCTACTGTCCAACAAGACGCAAGCAAAACTCGCGGACTACTTTGCCCCAAAATAAATGTAATTTTCGGTGAGTTTTCATACCCGTAAAATGTTTCGGAATTTTTTTTTGCATGCTAAAGCCAAATTTCGATTTAGCGAAATTTCAATGTAACGAAGTAAATTGCGAATTTTACCGACTTCGTTACATCGAGGTTCAACTGTATTACATTCCGCCCTTAAAGGTGAAGCTTTTTATATTAAGTTGAAAAGTTAGAAAAATTGGACAAACAGCACAATTAAGCTCTGAATTTCTGAGAATTGGGAATATATCATAAATAAACTCCTATAGACTTGTAATTTTCGGCCGAAAAAATACTGCGAATATGACAAGAAATCAACTCCGCAAACACAAAGCCTAAATATAGATCGCAGAATATATCTTTCCTGATTATTGCACTTGGAAAGTGCATGCTGATTAAGTAATGAATGAATTAATTTTGATATTCCTTTGGCCATTGTTCGAACTGTTTGGTGAAATTTCGACTCCCTCATCGCTACCCACACAGGAAAGTTTCCCCTGCAATGTACTTGCTTTTGAGTACTAACCGGGTGTAGTTCAGTGCTTGGGTGTTTGTGCGATGTCATCAAAGGGGTGTGCACACGGGGGAGAAACGCCTCCCTTTGCTCGTGTGGATTCCCATCACGTGGCAACATCAAGCCTCTGCGCGGGGCTGCGCTGACATACACATCACGGGAGGATGGGGAGCTTTTGCTTGAGCTGCACAAACTGTCCCCATCTTGGCACAAGAGCTCTTCGCAGTCGGTAATATTTTGTTTGCATGTCCAGCAACTTCAGAGATTTTGCTCGGCGGGGTACCGGCGGTGGCATCGAGATTGCCTAACTTGTTGTGGCTTGCGCCGTTGCGCACATCGACCGAAGTACCCGAGGAGGTCTTCGATGTTCATCAATGCTGTCCACAAGACGCTCGTCGTACGACTGGTTTTGGATACCAGATTCCGTGTGTTGCATCAACTGATTCAAGAAGCATCTTTTTTTTAGCAGGAAGCAGCTTGTCATCTTCTACATCTAAGAGCGCTGCTGCCATAATCGCACATCGTCGTTTTATGCACGCCTCCATTTTTTTGCTTGGCGGCGCGCGCCAAGCCCCGTTGTCGAGAGTGGGACACTGCTTAACGTGTCTGATAACATATGCATTTCAAGTTCAAATTCAAATTCTTGATTGATACCTGAATCAGAGAAAGGAGTCGGAGAATAAAAGCAACTGACGCACTTCTTGACTACCCTCTGCTTCTTGTAGCAGCCCAGGGAAAAACAAACACAGTCTAAGCTCATTCTAACAGACCTGGTTACAACAGACATTTTGATATAACATACCGATCTGTGCAGTTCGATTGGTTTTCCTCTATGTACCACTGACTCAACTTCACATCTGCACACAACATACTCCTTTTACAACAGACCAAAACCTTGGTTAAAATCAAGGTCTGTTGTAATGAGCTTAGACTGCATAAACATAGACACTAGCATTTGACATACATATTCATTATAGCGTGGGAAAGATGACAGAATTTAAATTGCTAAAAAGAAAAATGTAAACAAAAGGAAGAGAAAACAGAAACGAAAATGTACTATATGAAAAATAACAACACGCGTAAAACGCATACAATCGTGTTATACTAAACTTTTTTTTTATTTTACATGGGAGTTAGACAGAAAGTAAACATATTTGTTTGGCGGACATACTGAAGATATCTATATCAAGTTCATAAAAACGATTCAGAAGATGGGGGAGGGTTCATTTTAACATCCGATTCCCGTAGTTGGTTCTTGGATGTGGCGCTATCCATATCTCAGCATTATGAGTTGGATAATTTGCTTGTCTAAGTTCAAGTTGGGAAATTGATGGGTACATATTTTCATTCTGTCTAAAATACCTTTTGTAGGCAAGTGCAAGTTTATAACTACGGCTTTCCCGACTGCTCTCGTGTGCGTGTCGGGTATGGACCAACAGAGTCGGGAAACCTAACTAAAATATTTTACTCTTCAAGGAACCAGAGCTTGAGCATGGGCAGTCAGCCGGAACTTGCAGTGCGGTCTCTTCCCCGTCAGGCCGGTCGTTCTTCTATATCTCGCGCAGGGCTGCCTCGAGCCCGGTCCCTCGTCGTCCTTCTCTTTTTTTTGAAGAATGCAGACACTTCAGAGAAAGGTGTCTTGGTAGGCTCTGGTGGTCCTACAGGGACGCACCGCCATATAACTATAGTGATTTGGATATTGTACTATATTATGTTTATGAAGTAATGGCTTGGTATGACTATCATATGCTGCATGACATAAACCTTGAATTGCTTTTTCTTTTAAGATTATGTGTTAGTTTAAGATTTGAGGCAGTCGTGTTACCCCATACTAAAAAGCAATAGTTGTAGTATGTGTAAAGAATGGACCTGTATATAAGTACCATAACAGAGATGGGAATCATGTTTCGGTATTTAGTATATATAACCCCCACAACTTTCGATAGCTTATTACTTATCTGTTGCACAGTTTCGTCCCAACACAGGTATTCATTAAATATTATTCCTAGTACTTTTACATTTTCTACTATATCTATTTCATTTCCACCAAGTGAAAGGATAGTCGTGTAGGTACATTTTGTATTACGTTACTTGAATAGAAAGGCTTTAGTTTTATTCACTTTTATTTTTAAGGAATTTGATATCGTCCAAGCATTTAGTTTATCAAGATGTTGAATGGCCCTGTGTATAATTTGGTCAGCGTCGTTTCCTGAGAAAGAGAGAGGTGTCTGCATATATATTGTAACTAACGGTATCATCAATATTTACTATATCATTGATATATAAATCAAAAAGTGGCCCCTGTATGCTGCCTTGAGGCGCACCTCTGTTAATTTCCTGAGATATTGTCTATTTTTATTGATTTCTACACACTGTTAGCGGTTTTCTAAGGAACCTTTAATCATCTCTAGAGCGACACCGCGAACACCTAATATGCATGACTTCTCAATCAATGTTTCCTGATTGAGGCGATCGAATGCTTTCGAAAAATCTATAAACACTCCGAGTGTAACCAGTTTATTTTCAATATTATTTAAATTTCTGCTTTAACAGTGCCAGTTCAGTCGGCTCCTCAATGTTTTTGTGAAGCTGAAGTCAGGGAGCGAGTCTTGTTGGTTCTGCTGATCATCGACGTCACACACATCAGTCACCGAAGACGTCCCCTGTGTGAATACCCCTTAAGTGTGGGGAGCACTGTTCATTGAAGGGCAATGGTTCATTACCGGTACCCTTCAGTACTGGTATACGGCGCCTGGAATGCCTCTTTGACTGGTGCGCCTAGCGTCCTTACCTCTCATGCATCAAAAGCAGTCTTAAAGTGGCAACGAACGAGGTCACAGAAGCCAGCGTGTTGGGCTGTCAGACGTGGCAACACTGGCAGTGTTTCCAGTGCAAGTGTTGTCGTTGCCGCGGCATCCAAACTACCGGCTGCCAAAGCTTCCGTAGACTGTTGAACCGGAGAGTGACTTGCAGTAGAACAGGCGTCTGTTGCATCCACGTCTAAGGTTGCCGAATCCTGGGAAAGTAGTGCCATTGCCTTCCCTGCTTCTAGCTCAACCAAACAGAGGCAAACATATGGACGACCGAAACCTCGCTGGGCGATTGGTTGAATGATGCGTGTTGCCTTGCAATCATCATTTTGGTCCCCTGAAACCTTTGAAGCTTCGAGGGTCGTTTTGAACCGCCCGTGCCAAGATTGTGATGGCGCGTCGTTTTGCTGTGGAAGTATTCCTCGCAAATATGAGCGCCATTGGCACTATATGTGTAATCCACTCTCGCTTATCTCTGCAGATATATTGCAATAATATTGTGCTTCGTGCACTATTCACTACGGGAAAATTATTTGCCAGGCACCGATGCCACATGAAGCGGTAGTGCTCTTGTTTTACCTGTGTGTGGAGAACAAAATCTCGGTATACTAAAATATGCAAAGCAACCTGTTGCCGGGAGTTGGGATCAGCTGAGCAAGACTGGAGACGTCAAAAAGGAGTGGCTCGGACCAAAATGGCGATTGTACGGGGACCTTAGCGTTACTTTCTCAGGATCCAGTTGCTTTATTCACCCTCGCTACTGTGCCATGACCAGGATTGCAGCCCGCAACAGCGGGACTCTTTAATTACATCGTCTCGTAGAAATCGCAGGACCTCGTTTGATGACATGGTAGACATTTCATTCAGAGACGCGTTTGAGGCATCGTAGTACCTGGGGGGGAATCGGATTCCCGGTTGATATACTCTGTGTCTTGCGTCGGCTTACTTTCAGGCTTACTGCCAAGGAGCTCCAAGAGAACCCCATCTTTGACCAGAACCGGGACAATACCGTTTCACTCGAGGAGGCCAAGGTATTTATTTATTTATGGTACTTTTCCGGTGCCCTTAAATGTGTGTGCCGGCCGGTCTAACCCCTTAGCTGCCACTTGTTTTTACCAAAACTGCTTAAAAACTGCAAGCATTATTGAGCCTATATTGTTTCAAAGCATTTGTTTCTGATCAGAACTAGTGCTGGCAAGTCATATTTTAACTCCTTTTGCGACCTTGCAGTATAAACATTTTTATTGATATACAAAGCGTTTTTTTTCGACTTCAAAGGTTTGTTTTAAAAAAGCCACGAATGCCGCATTAGCTCGGTGAGTTGCACGGTCAGGGGAACATAATATAAGGGGCTAACATCGTGGTAAGTCGGATTATTAACGCAAATTGGTTAATGAACCTTATAAGCGAAACTAAACATGGTTCCATTTCAAAATTTGCCGTTGGTTGTCGTAAACTGCTAAAGGCTCCGTTTACTTAAAACCAAAAAGATTTTACTCGGAACGCTTGCATCACTCAAAGACCGTAGCCCCTATTAAAGCTCAAATAAATAGCTATAAACAATCTTTTTTGTGCATACAATTGATTTGTGGAACAGCCTTCCTGGTCATGTTGTCGATATTGATTCACTCTGTTCTTTCGAAAAAGCCGTAGATAATATTTTTCAGTGCTAAGATTGCTTTTATTGCTCTTATGAAATTATTTTTACTGTCTTTATTTTTTATTACTGCTGTTACATTTACTGCTATACTGTTATTGTTATTACTAGTATTACATTTGGTTACTGTATTGTTTCTCTTCTTTCGAATATGTCGTAGATATTATTTTTCGGTTCTAAGATTGCTTTTTGTTTAGAACTGTTGTGTTTATAATGTGCATGTGTGACACTGTATCACCCCACTCCTGCCTTGGCCCTATGTTGGGCTGCCAGTATTGATAAATAAAAAAAAATAAAAGGCTGGGTTAGACACTTGCGATGAGCGTGTTAGCTACGACCGCATCTGTTGTGACCGAAACAATTTCTGCATCGCGCGTACACACTCCTGCAACCACTGCAACAAGTGCTGCGGGTCATCAGCACGGTGGCCACTTCTGCGTCGCCGTCGGCTGTTTCCATGGTGCCTCTAAAAAGAAGGGGATGTGCCGCCACTCACTGGCGCAACAAAGAGTTGGACAGACAGTCTTCTATAGCCTCGAGCTTTATTAATTTTTATTTTTCCAGGATAGGCACACTGAGCTGTGTGAATGAAAAAAGAAGAGGATGCATTAAAACTTGTGTTTGGGCGAGTTGGCTCATACTGATTTAAAAGGTTAAAAAGCGCAACACAACAAGGACAATAAAGACAGGAAGACGACAGGACGGGCGCTAGCTCAAAACTGATTTTATTAGAAACAACGCTGTCACTTTTATACACAAGAACGTATGCCAAACCCACACTGCAACCAATCGCCACTCTCACAAGCAGCTATCTAGAAACATTACTTCTTTCTGAAGCAAAAAGAGAGAAGGCGTGCTAACGCATTTGTCATTTTTCTTTTTGATATAAAACGCCTCTATAATCTCTTTCTCGGTCTTATCTTTTGATTTCTTTAAAAACTTTGTTTCAGCCAAAAGAGCCTTACAGTCAGCACATCGCCTGCAGTGGTCTGCCAGGTGTCCCCCGCGTTGTTCTGCACAGAAAGATTATGCTCGCGTGCCCTATCGTTAAAACAGCGCCCGGTTTGTCCAATATAAACTTTTCCACATCTTAAGAATCTCATAGACAACATTGGTCACACATTCAGTGTACTGTACAGCGTGCTTTTTGAACAGAGTGCTTTTTTCTGCCGTGTAAGCATCAAACATATTTTTGAGAGCTTGCAAGGGGCTGAAATAACATTTACATCGTATCTACTAGCTATCTTTTTAATGTTGTGAGACACTTTATGCCAATAAGGAATCACATGTACACGTCTTTTAACTTTAATTTGTCTGGCCGCCTCCTTGTAAGTTAGTTTTTTTTATTTTTTGAAGTAAGCTCTCACAGCAGCTCGAAATTAGGTCAGATGGACATCAGTCTTGCTCAGCAAGTAAAAAGGCTAAAAAACGTAGGGTACCTACCTAACCTAATTTCGAGCTGCTGTGAGAGCTTACTTCAAAAAATAAAAAGAACTAACTTACAAGGGGGCGGCCAGACAAATAAAGTTAAAAGACGTGTACATGTGATTCCTTATTGGCATAAAGTGTCTCACAACATTAAAAAGATAGCTAGTAGATACGATGTAAATGTTATTTCAGCCCCTTGCAAGCTCTCAAAAATATGTTTGATGCTTACACGGCAGAAAAAAGCACTCTGTTCAAAAAAGCACGCTGTACAGTACACTGAATGTGTGACCAATGTTGTCTATGAGATTCCATTAAGATGTGGAAAAGTTTATATTGGACAAACCGGGCGCTGTTTTAACGATAGGGCACGCAAGCATAATCTTTCTGTGCAGAACAACGCGGGGGGCACCTGGCAGACCACTGCAGGCGATGTGCTGACTGTAAGCCTCTTTTGGCTGAAACAAAGTTTTTAAAGAAATCAAAAGATAAGACCGAGAGAGAGATTATAGAGGCGTTTTATATCAAAAAGAAAGATGACAAATGCGTTAGCACGCCTTCTCTCTTTTTGCTTCAGAAAGAAGTAATGTTTCTAGATAGCTGCTTGTGAGAGTGGCGATTGGTTGCAGTGTGGGTTTGGCATACGTTCTTGTATATAAAAGTGACAGCGTTGTTTCTAATAAAATCAGTTGTGAGTTAGCGCCCGTCCTGTCGTCTTCGTGTCTTTATTGCCCTTGTTGTGTTGCGCTTTTTAACCTTTTAAATCAAAAGGATGCAGTACGCCGTCTTGGACGATTACGACTTTAACGCATGATTTTACCGATAGTGCAAATCTCATCATACGGTTTTTCTACGATTACAGAAGACAATGTAATTTTAGCGGCGATATAGCAACGTAGAGTTGATTTCATGATCACATAGACGTTGCGAGCGTTAGGAATGTTAACGCTAATCACTTTTCTTGGGTGGTGATACTGTATGCACCCATAATGTCTTGAACTTGAGCCCGCACATAGAGCACGCAAAATAACAAATCCGGGCGGCAGTCGAGGACACAAACAATAAAGAAAGGACCCTCGAAGTCGAGGTAAACAGACTTGATGACGCAAACGTTTCTGCCGTCTCGAGGGTGCCACCACGACATCGCTGCGCGAGTAGACTGATCTTCCCTTTTATGACGTGCTGGTTTATCTTCGTGATGCACAATGAGAATTCACTGTCACGGATAGCACTCTATGCGAAACGACGTGCTTCCACCATGCTGACCACGTCAATTACCACAGATGCCACATTTATGAGCAGATGGCAGGAACCATAACCAGCGTGCAATGCGTGCCAGTTGGGGTCTCCTCTACCTACGATTGGTTGGCCATTGTGGTCACTCTGTTCATTTCTAAATGTAGTGAAAAAGTTTGGCATGACTCAACTCCTTGTGTTGTGAACAAACATGAACGAAACGGTCATTTGGCGCTTCGTTGCCGTGGCAGCTCGTCCTTCCAACAGGTTGCACTCGTTCGTTGACGTGTTCGCTCTTAAGGCAAGTCTGTGAACGAGCCTTAAATCGGTAAATTTTAGAAAGATGTTGAGCATGTCGGAACTGCAGCGGTACACCAGAGTGACCGCTCATGCAACAGGCTCATGGCTGGCAGTTCATTAGCAAACGTTTGTTGACTCATCGCGACTTTTAGCTCCCTATATTATCTCCCCTTGGTCATGTACCTCACCTGCACAGATTGCAGCAATGTACTTTTCACTTTCCCTTCAAATAAATCTATTTGAATTAAAATGAACCACCCTCTATATTAGGTGTTTCGCCGATTATTTACTCAAACGAAACATCGGAAATTTTAGTATCAAGCTACAAGTCATACTGTACATGATCAGATTTGTTCAGGGTTTCGCACCTGCTTCCCAGCATCATTTGCACAGCATCTGTTGCACTTTCGTCGCTGGAGCACTCTCATTTAACAGTAGCCATTCATCGTCTTTTGACTCAGAATCAAGGGGAGAAATATTGTTCTGGTTATTTGCTCCACATGTGACCGAATGTGAGAATGCAGCCATATTTTTAAAATGCAGCGTTGCGTTAGAAGTTTTTTTGAGCAAGTTGGTGCAAAACGGTGAAGCCCACTTTACTATGTGCCCCTCCTGCATATTTGTTCCTGGACCTAGAAAGCACCCATTCTCCGACTTTACGGGATTTTCTCTAAATTTTGGGTAGTCACTTGCTTGATATCTTACAACAGTTACCAGTTCGCAATTGTATGTACCTATACACCATTCTCCCCTAAAGCTGGCATTGCGGTCGAAGCTACGTGCTCGTTGGGTCAATCAAACGTCTGCCTTTCACCACGTGATCACACCTATACCCGGGTGCGGGAAGCAGGGACAGGTGGCGAAAGGGAGGCAGCTGATTGGTTGGGCGAGTGCGTAGCTTCCACCTGATTGTCAGCTTGGGGGTGAATGAAGTATAAGTGCTTTGCAACCCTCCTGCTCACAGCCGGAACTTTGAATTGGGGGGAGGGTACTTTATTGAGTTTCGTTTCTCCTCTCAGTTTTTCCTGCACATGAAAGATGAGATGAAGTTGGATGAATTTGTGCTGACCGGCTGGATGATCATGAAGCCCATCTACGCAATGAGTCAGGTGAGGTTCCTGTTCGATGTTGGTGGCCCGACTTGCCGTATCAGTCTTTACCATTGAAAGCGTCTGCTGCAGAATCTCATTTAATTACGTAAATTAAGAGAGCCTTTCTGGTTTTAAGATCATGGTTTTTTTTTTTTTTAAATGTGTCCGCAGAGTTTGGGATACAAAGGTTTTAACTTCTGCTCCCATTAAAACACTTCGTAGCAACAAAACACTTCCTTCGCACTGTGTACAAAATAGCAGCACCAGACACAGCCTCGGACCACAAAAAATCGTGGCATGCTACTCTTTCGTGCTAATTGCAAATGGAGCAGCCACTGTTTCTTGCACCGCAGTCGCAACTAAACTTGCGTAACATGTTTGAACCTGCATAGCAGTAACTGGAAAGACAGCAATCTTGGACAAAAGTGCCTTTAAGACGGCCAGTGGAAGTTGTGATTGCAGTGCGGATAACATTTTAATCACCCTTATACTTAGTCCATTTGTCCTTGCTATCCCCCGAATTCAGCAGAATTGCAATTGCTGAGTAGTTGTACATGCCCTTGTATGGACCCGCTGGCTTTATTGGGGCATTGCCACGAAGCAAAAATGAATGAATAATATACCCCATGATGGAACGGTTTGCTCAATCAGGTAACTCCGATCCCCGACGCGCCAGAAGCGACGACGCCCATGCCGCCGGCCGACAAGGAGGAGGAGAAGGAGGCGGAGCCTGGGAAAGAGACGGAGCAACGGTCGACGGTAAGAAGAGACGCTCTAGTTCGACGTTGCATCAAATCGGTGTGCATGTTGACCCTTTCTTGTTCCACCTGGCAGCTTGCCAGTATCAAAGGTTTACAACTTGCCATCTTTGTCAAGTATCAATACGAAACTGGAACGTGCCTCTGTCTTGTGTATTTTGCGTCCTGTTCTGCAGCACAATACATGAATCTAAAAATGGAGAAAAATACATTTTAAATGTAACTTTCTTTTTATTTCTGCCCAGTTTTCTAGATTTATTTTTGTGTTCAATCCTAATCTCAAGTTAATTCGCATTGCCATAAAGCAAGTTTTGGTACGTGTTCTCTGGTTTGCCTTGGTTGGGACGTCCGTGTCAAAAAATAAATTTTATGCTCAAAAAAATTTTTTGTAGGGCAATATTGACGGCACCAGCCGTGATTTAGTCGGTAGTCAAGCATTTGGGGCTCGTGGAGGAGAGGTGGATCGGCTTCGCCTTCACGTTGAGGTGGAAAGAGCGAAAGACCATCTCGTTGAGCGAATGACCATTCCATGACGTCATGGACTGTGCACACAGAATTTCAAAAAAATCTCTCGCCGTCAATATTGCTCTAGAAATTTTATTTTTTTCGCGTAAAATTATTTTTTGACATGCGTGTCCCAAGCAGACTGTTTAAGAAAAAAGTTTTTTTTTTTTTTTTCAGGGGCTCTTTAATTCAAGATATTGTGCATCTTTTCATTTCGGCAATGCACAAACGGAATTGGGAATGGGCTGTCAAATCCACGGACCAATCGCGCATGCAAAAGACTATTTTGTCGATTAATCAATTGAGCGAATGATGATTTCACTGACCAATCACACGCACACACATGACGAATCACCAACCAGTCACACGCAAATAACGCTTTCCTCGACCAATCGCACATGCAAACAACAAATACATTGTCCAATCATACGTTAAAACGACGAATCCTCTGGCCAATCGCAGTATGAATGTCGAATTCATCTATCAATTCCACATCCAAACATTGAATTTGTCAACCACTCATTCTTGCAATTGACAAGTCTTTTGACCAATTGCACGTGCAAACGAAAAATCCGTCGACCAATCCCTCGCAGGAGGAAGAAGAGGCCGAGGAGGATGTGTCTACGGAGCAGGACGAGGACGAAGAGGACCTTGAGCCTCCCGAATTCCCTCCCAAGGACAAGGAAGCCCCCGAGCCTGCAGAGCCGTCCAAGTATGACCCGGAAACGCAGGAGCTCATCGACGGTGAGGCCGCGTCTTGCCCTACTCACCGCGCTTGTCGACACCTCCGTCGGCGTCTTGCCTCGCAGCCACAGGGTGTATTCCCAAGACTGATTTTTATGGCAACAGCCATTAGCGAAAACCTTCCCAGGAAGTTGCGTTGTCGTCCTTCGCAAAAACTCTTTGCATTTACAGTGATGATTGCTGTAGCCGACACTCCGTTGTGCCGGCACTTGACACGACTATTCGAGCAGGCGAACTTGCACACCATATTGCTAGACCTCAGAAAGTTTTTCAGTTATGGTGTGCCAAGGAGTGGAATCGAGCACGGAACAGAAATGGCGCAAAAATTCTCAGAATCTTGATTGGGAGGAGACGCAGAAACGACAATGGCGGCACAATAGCGAATTGCACGAGCGCCGAGCTACCAGTGCACTGACACATGTTGCGCAATGGAATACTAAATCTAGTCAGATGTTTTCTTCGATGTGAGATGAAACGTTGAGTTTTGAGGTCACGTGCGCCGTGTCCTGGATGTTCGCCAATATAACGAGCCTGTAGGGAGTTGCGGAGAGTCTGCAACCGGCCCACAGAATATTTATTGTCCCATACAGGGTAAGTGGTTCCCCCCTCCTTTCTGGGGAAGGATTAGATACTGTCAGCAGTTTTAGACTGTAAGATGAATTTCTTTTCCATTTTTTTTTTCCCTGCGTTCTTTTGCTTTGCAAGCCCGCGAAAATAACTAACGAGTTCGCAGAAAGATGGACTTTGCCGACTCAACTAAACGCAACTCCTTCGTGCAAATGTTCGTTCGGATTTTCTGCACCGCCGTGTCCTCCTCAAAGCCTTTCCACCTTGCCGCTCTACGACGCGCTCTCGGTTTTCTCTGCAGATAAAGATCTGTCACACAAATACACCAACAGTCGCGACAGGGTGAGAACTGCGGGGAGGTCTTTCAGTTGTCCCACTTCCAGCGCGAGCTTCCTGTCGTCGATGATGCTTCGTCCCATGCACCTCGAGCGCGCCTGTGCTGCCGAAGCACGGCAGAAGGCAATGAGAACTTGCTGGAGGCCGGGGATTTGAAAGAAACTCTTCGCCAGTCTTACCTTGTCAGTGATGTGGGACCTATATTGGGGTAGTCATATACCAGTAAAGGGGGGGGGGGGGGGGGGTGATAATCACCATCAGTGGATTGTCTTTTGTAACCATATGTAGGCCGTCGATTTTCCAGTGTTTATTTATAAGGGAAGTTGGTAGACAATCTTTGGTGTTCATTTATTAAAAAAAAAGTGAAAGCCGTTTACAACTCCCTGTAACACCGAATTAGAGCGCAGCTCTTGAGGAGGAGGAGGAAAGGGTGCTGGGGGGGGGGGGGGTGAAGTGACCTGGGGGGGGGGGTCACGTGACAATGTCATCAGTGACGTCACTGATGACGTCATCAGTGACGACGACGATGCCGGTGACGTCATCGGGGAGGTCACGTGACCTCGGCGGGGGGGGTCACGTGACCCTGGGGGGTGGTTACGTGACCTCGGGGGTGTCACGTGACCTTGGGGGTCACATGATTCTGGGGGAGGGGTCGCGTGACCTTGGGGGGTCGCGTGACCTTGGGGTGACCTTGGTTACGCCAACGCCAACGCCGCTCAAGCCGGGAACGGGCCCCTAAGAGCTGCGCTCCAAAAAAGAATTGGGTGTATTTCCAAAAATTAGTTTACCCGCAAAAGAATGTTTTGAATGAGAATACCGCAGGTCAAAAAAGCCCCCCTCCAACTACGTGCGAGTCGCTTATTTTTTTATTTTTTTTTTAATTGGATACTTGTGGGTGCTGAAAATTTGGCATCTGGCCCCAACCGCTAGTGCTACGTTAGGCAGAGACCGAGAGTTTAGCAGTGCAAGGATTATTTTTGCGGTGAGAAAAAGTTCTTTCTCACCCCAAAGACCCTGCATTTTAGGTTCAGAACACCGGTTGGTTCTTCCGATTTGAGGAGGGCTTGTGCCTTTTCAATTGCAGCTGCCAAGAAAGCCCGCGACGAGCACAAAGAAGCCGAGGACAAGTTCAGAGACATTGAATCCGAAATCAGGTACGTGGGGGACATTTCAGATTGCTGCTTGTCGGAACAATACCACCAGGAAGATAAGGTCTGCGCACAACGTTGTCTTTAGTGGATCCCCGACCTCTTCCGAGCGGCAAACATGCCGAAGCTCGACGAGAGTCGCCGCAAAGCGGCAGACTCGTCCTCCTTGGCATCACGTTCATTGTGAGATGCTGCAAGACATGCTGGCGGCGATGCCGTCTCATGCTAGGTGGCGTGGGCCTCGTTTTTTAGTGGTGTTAGTCAGAGGCAAACTTGGAATAAGCAAAGTGGTATGCGCCATCTGAAAGACGTCATGCCACAATCGAAGACTGGAAGTCGTACAGTCAAATGCCTTTATAACGAATTCCATGGGACCGGAGAGATCTTTCGTTGTAGCAGTTAAGCGCGAAAAGCCGATAGCGTAATACCAAATTGACATACCTGGGTGACGTTCGAGGCATTTTGGTAAACAGTGCAGCGCCAAAATTACTATGAGCGACGTCAGAAACGAGGTTCTTTACGTTGACTGTTGACTCGCCAAAAGGTGTGGGGCGAAAGCTTGCACTACACAATCCAGGCATCTAAAGCTCAATGACCACTTTTTTTTTCTCTAAATTAAAATTGTATTGGCATGCATTAGTGTATTCACCACTGTGCGACTCAGTTTAAAGACACCAGGCTAGTGGTCGTACCGCCAGAACCACCACTGGTCAAGTTTGTCTTCTTTAAGCGGATACCAGGCGTTCCTTGTCGCAGACTACAGTCGAAGCCGGATATATCGAATTCAAAGGGGATAGAAAGATAGTTTGATATATCAATAATTTGGTATACAAAAATACGTTAAATTAAGCTCGAGTTGAAATTTCCTGGCGTCTCTGCTAATACCGAAGGTCACGACAAACAGGAGCTTACCATATAGAGCATCGAAGAGCTGTTAAATACAGTAGAGCATAGTTGGCAGAGACCACAAACACCGCCGCACTTACACGCGCAACTGGCTGGGACCTTCACACCACAGCATAAGCGACAAAAATGAAAGAAAAACGGAAAAGCGAGGCACATAAAAAAATATCTCTTGATTCATAGAAAAAAGTTAGGCAAGGAACAAAAAGTAAGCTCACAAAATTCGGCCAGCAAAAAAAAAAAAAAAAAGAAAAAAAAAAACGGGCAAAGTGATAACAGGAAAAGAAAAAGGTAAACAAAGATAATTGACGGGACATCTAGTAGACGGGCGAGCTGGTTTAAGTTGCACATCGTTAAGAGCGGAGACGACGGAAAGAATGGGGACAGGACACGCGACTCAAACTGAGCTAACAACTTTTCTTGAAACCATCGCTCATATACGTCCCCTCCCGCACCCACGTCCGGACAACTGCGCACGTCCCATGGCTGACCGTTGTACAATTCTTTGTGGGCAGTTTTTCCTTGTCTGGTGCATACATGCGTTCTTGGGCGGCATGCTATCAACGCAGGTTGAGGCTTCATTGGTGCGTGGCGTGGATGACACCATGGACACAGACCTTTAAATGGGACACTCTACAAACGTCTGTGCAGTGTTCCGGAAAATCTTTATTTACCTGTTAGCTTTGTCTTAAACATAACACCACCTTACTAACCGCGGCCACAACGTTCCAGGAGAAGGTGTTGTTTCGCGGTGACTTTGCTTCGGTGGAGACTGTCTTTAATTTTTGATTTTACCGTCACATTCCAGGATGTGGGGCATTCGCTGACGTCGCAGTCCCTGAATGGGATTGCGAGGTGCTTGTGTTATCTTTCCTACTTTGTTTCTTTTGTCCGAACAAACCTTTTTGTAAGCAAAACAAATTTTCATTCTGTTAACCTCACCGTTTTCCTTTCACACGGATGTACCAAGACCTCGAGGTTGCGGAAATCGGGGAAAAAGCGTAAACAAAGAGAAGTGTCTTTCCTTCATTTTACTTTGTCACAGACGTCCTTCAACTGTAAGGTCCATGGCCACGTTATTCGAGTAGGATGAATGTTTGCGTATCTCAAAGTCTGCTTTGGGGTATTTGTAGGGGTGGGCGATGACTCGGTGTTTTTTTGGAAATCGATACTTGCCCAAAAAGTGGGGTGGGCAATGGCTGGAGGATGGGCGACGACAAGGGATATTACTATATATTGTCTTGTTTGTGCAGATCTTTTCAGATGTGCTGATGTACATGCAAAATAAGAAAACAAGCGTGCACAATGCCCGAATCGAGCACTGAAACAAAAGAAACTCGCCTTGGAGCGGAGTGGCGTTTACTCAACCAACGGCATGAGCAAAACGAGAGCAAACAAGGATGCATAAGCACACGCAGCGGAGGCGGCACCGCAATCGCCGTTGCCGTGCCGCACGTTCTTAGTTTCGGGTTTAAATAATTTCTTAGTGTGCAACCTTGTCTACATTGCACTACGTGACTATGTTGCTGTGTATGGGCTTTCTACGTAGCAGCATAGTCATGTAGCACTATCTAGACACAAGGTTGCACACTAACTAATCATTTGTACCTGAGTACGTGCGGCAGCGGTGTGAACCGTAGCCGCTGCCGCACTATTTCTGCTGTTTGCGCACATCACGTGGAAGCAACAATTGATGTAAAATCGATTACCGTATTTGCACGAATATAACGCGACCGTGAATATAGCGTGAGGGCAGTGCTGATGCCCTCAAAAAAAAAAAAAGAAAAAAAATCTTGCTAATTTAACGCGAACTGAGGCCGCGTATATTCACCGCACTGAGGAGCATAGCAGAAGTGAGAAGGCAATAGAAATCTAAAAAAATATCAGTTTATTTTCACTGCACTCGTCCTCACTGCTCAGGTCCTTCCGTTTGCAATCCACTGGGCGACCTCGCAGATATGCAGCACCACGGAGCCACTCGTTTGGTAGTTCCCTTTTCTTCGGGTTGAGCTCCTTGGCAGACCACAAGCAATGCAAGGCAGGAAGCAGAAGCACCTGCGCACAAACACCTGACCACTCTGGATCAGAAACTAAAAGATATGCAGGCTAGAGAAGAGACTGTTGGAGTTGATACACAGTCACACCCATTCTTGTTCTGGTTTCTCCGCATAAATGCCTTTGTGTTGCATGATTGCACAAACACTGTTGGTGGTCTTGGTTTGGCTTGTGTTGACTTGACCTGGCTTGACTTTCCCTGAATTGGCCAGTGCCTGCATTCCCACGTGGCGCGCTGCATTTCTGCGGTGTGCTTTTCGGCGTGCGTCGTACAAACACAAAAGCGATAAAAATGCTTTTTAGGTTTTCTATACCCCCTTCACGTGGCCCAATAGCTAATAAATTCCCTCCCCCACCCCCACTTCTTTTCCCACCCGATCTTGCATTGAGCCGGAGGGATGGCTTTCTCCAGACACGCGTCCTTTGTGGCTAAGCTCAATCCCAAATGTAACGTGAGGTGCACTTTGGAGCTCGTAATTTCCAAAAAAAAAAAAACAAAAAAAAACTTGCGTTATATTCGTGCAAATACGGTACTTTTCACCTAAAAAATTCATAGTACTGGTCAGTTTTGCTTTGTGTGGCTGCACAATTGCTATGTTATACTTAAACAGGAATTAGTTGTAGTAGTCAGGGAAACACATTGAACACATAGGAGATTGGCCTGGACTTCATTTTACTTGGTTAAACGTGCGTTTATATGGTAGAGGCATTTGTTTAAAGGTGTTTGACTGTTGTGGTGCTCTAACACTTCCCTCTTTTTGGGAGCGATCAGATTGCATGCACGACAGCATTTCAGAGAAAATCATGCAATGCCCCCAAAGATGTGCAGGGATGAAGCATTTTATACGTTCACAATTTCTTTGCCACATAACACACTACACATCATTCTGATAGCAAGTGCTGCTCATTAAAAACCCCATCAAAAGCTATAGCAACTTCATTGCATTTAACACAATGTCTAAGGCAGGCGCGTTTATATTTATTGATGCCCATTAAAGCAACATGCCTTCCAAATGGTGCACCGCAACACGGACAGAAAAGAAACATACACACAAACATTTCAACATGCACACAAAAGTACCAATGTTAAAAAAAAAAACAAAAAAAAAACAGAGGCCCAGACATGTTGATCGAAGGTGACGAAATGCTGTTAAACAAAACTTCCATTTGGTTGACAGGCAAAGGCTGGGAGCACTCGCCGACGTAAAACAGTTCCTTTGGTCCCAAAGAGTGAAAATCTAACAGAAGCTTGCGGTGGATAATAACACTGAGTATGTTTTGTCAGCCGAATCCCACGAGAAAATTGTTGCAAAGAACTGCCGTGAAGTATCGCGACATTGCAATGTCACGGGACAGTGTGACACACGTCTTCTGTGGCATGCGCCCAGCTCATTCATAGTGCATTGTGCACTCCCCGGTCTTTGTCACCGTTGTCAAGCCAGTGTACATTTTTTTTTTTTTTGAAAGGGGAGCTCTGATGTAGGTTTGAGTTAGCCTGACTAAACACATTTTGGGAACACCCAGGATGGTGTTTATTATCTCTAAATTCAAAATGGCTGATGACAAAACGAAGGGGATGCTAAAACAGACATACAAATGCTCCCACATTCTCCAGTGTGGTGACGTCACGTGTTGTATAACTTGCATGTTGAGCAGGCAGTCTAAAAACAATTTGCACCTTTATCTTCTAAGTTCTATAATGCATCAAATGCGGTAGTTAAGGTGAGATAATGTAAAATTGTTTAGCACACATTAAGCCGTCGCATCGGGGAGTGAAGAACTGTTATGCTTACCAATTTCCCATCTACCTTGGGCGAAGAAACTGGGTGCAAAGGGCACGTGACGTCAACTTCCCCGCTAAATTTTGTGGAGGAACTGAAGGAGTTTAGGTCGTGTGACATCAATTTCACCACCGAATTCAGCAGGCAAACTGAATTGGCGTATAGTTTGCATGATGGGTAACATGATTCATTTTCCCACTAAATTTGTGGGGAAAAGAAACTGGTGCATAGGTCCCAACATCAAGTCGCGCCACATCGAAATTTTCCGCTAACGGAGAAAGTTAATTGGAGTGTAGGTGGATGCAACATTAATTTTCCCACTGAATTTAGCGGGGAAACTGGATTCGTACATAGGTCTTGTGACATCAATTTATCCCCTCACTTTAGCGAGGAAACTTGATTGGTGTGTATGCAACGAAACGTCAAGTCACGTAACATCAATTGACATCGTGTAACCTAAACAAAAATTCAGTTTCCCCTCTAAATTTGGTGGGAAATGCACAGACAAACAAACTGATAAAATTTTGGGTTGGGGGTAGCGTGCATTTTATGCTTAAAGATGCAGTATTTTGCCCATATTTTTGTTTTGTCTCGCTGGTGTGAGCTAAACCAGCATTAAATTCACACCATTAAACTTCCCATAACCCTCTAATGCCCCCATGTTGCCGCATAGGACAACATCTGACGTCACGTTTTCAGTGTTGCCCATAGACACAGCTCCACCGACCAGATTTTAAACTTCAATGACTTTGCGGAAAAATATTATTGCGACTGTCAATTTGGGTCAGCAGTTCAGACGTGTCTATTAATGTGTCGAAATATTGCTGGAGCTCCCCCCTGTTTGTTTGGTAGTCCGGGGGTGACAAGGAAGAGGGCGGGCATCGTTAACGGCGGTCCAACGGGGTCGTGCAGGAAGCTGGAGACGACGCTGGAGACGGACTATGGCCCCGAGGAGGAGTTTGCGGCCCTGAGGGAGCAGTGCTTCGAGTTCTCCGACCGGGAGTACACCTACAAGCTGTGCCCCTTCGACCAGGCGGCGCAGATCCCCAAGAACGGAGGCTCCGAGACCAACCTGGGGTGAGGGGGACGGTGTTCCAATCAGGGCTAGTTGGTTTTGCCTGCTCTCAGAAAATTGCATTGCGAAGGATTACAAAAAAATTTGCAGCAACTTTTGTCTTCAAGGTCCTGTACTGCATGAAATATGGCGATCGTTTTAATTTGTTTACGAGGCGCTAGACAGTTTTGAGGAGTGAAGAGCCCATATATTTCATAAATTTTGCAGCTAAATTAAGGTCACTTGACGTCAATTTCCCCAATAAATTTAGCGGAAGAAATTGTATTGGTGTCTAAGCCACGTAACATCAATTTTCTCGCTAAATTAAAAAAAAAAAACTTTGCTGGCATTGGGTCCCGTGACATGATCTTTACCTGCTAGATTTTGTGGGAAATGAACGGAGGACGGGTGGTCAAGGTTTTTGGGTTGGGAGCGGTTCCGTTAAAAAGCGTTTATTTTTATTTTTAGTTTATTTAGGAACACTGCAGCTCTCCACTTAGAGGCATAGCAGGAGTGATGTACAATATTAACATATACAGAAAAAAGGATGTGCACGAGAGTGCTCTAAGTAAATATATAGGAAAGAGGAGTGTACACGCAAAAGTGTTCTAATAAAAAATGTCTAATGGCATCAGTAAATTTGTCAGTTGAAGAAACTGTTACTACTTGCAACAAACACAAATAATATTTGTGTTCGTTGCAAAATCCTTCTAATCTTAGCGTCATTATTTGTAACCATTAGCTGTACAGTTTGACCTAAGCTTGAGGGAGACACTGCAGGTTTTAGAAAGCTTCCCCTTCTTTGAATGTGTGGCTTCTGAGCATTGCGGACGAGATCGATGCGTGTTTCTATTTTGGGCAATGCGGAACCTCACAAACCTAATCTTGTAACCTCTATTTAGGCTGAACTCCCCTAAAGTGCCTGGATAGGGCAGATATGCCTCAAAACAAACTTTTCTGCCACCCCCTAAAAAAAGAAAAAAGAAGTTTTTGCGGAGTATTTGTGTCTTGAGACTCATTTGGAAGGCAGGAGCGAATCCGGGTCGGCATCTCGAAATAGAAGCATGTTTCGGAATTGTTCCCAACTCAAAATGTGCGTTGCGACCTAAATATTGTGCTTAAGAGTTTTTTTTAATACACAATCCGTTTTATGTGGTGCTTCCTACGAGAAAACTGTCACGAACGAGAGTCGTAGCGAGCTTCACGAATGAATGACATGCTGGGAGCATTACTAATGTTCGCGAACTCCCTATTTTCTCTTTTGTGGACGGAGCGGTGAGAGGGAGCACAGAGCACCCTCTGCCCGCTCCCCCCGCAAAAAGTGATTTTTTTTTCTTCCAAGCAATTGACGCAACCGTCCAGACAAAAAATAAAAAAAAAAAAAGCCAGCATGCTCTGTAAGCTGGTTTTCCCCCAATGCGGCCGCTCGCGTTGGGGGAAAGCCAGCTTGCAGAGCAAAACGGCACTTTTGGCAGTTCAATATACACCAACTCAACTCTCCTACGTCACGCCGCGGTGGTGGCGCGCCGGACGCACTTCCGGTCTGGGGCGGTGGGCAGAAGTCGCCGTGCCAGACATGAATTCCAGTGTTCCTTTGGAAGAAAAGAGACAAAAAACCTGCCTTCTCGTCAAAATGCTGCGATGGGGGCTTTACAAAGAGAGTCTGGAAAGGTTTGAAGATCAGTTTTCATGTGTTTTTGCACCCTCCGTTCGTCCGAGAACGTCGATAGCAGCCGTGAAAAGGGCAAACCTGACGCTGTCGAACTACGATTGCGTGTGCGGGCCACAATTTGTAGTCGCCAGATGTATTTGCTTTGTTCCAACATGACCGAGAGAAAACCCCCAAGTTGTCCGGACCACCCACGGATTCAGTGCGTCTTCAAATTCACACGGCCGCCTGATCGTTCGAACTTTCGTCTGCTCCTTCAAAGTTGTCTGCTTTTTGTCGTCTGCTCGTTCAAACAAAAGCGGCCCGTAGACCAAACTTTGACCCGGTGATTGCAATAAGAAGTAATTGCAGGCCTCAAAAGACCTAAGTAGGCTCGGTGTAAGCAGTAGATACAAGATGTTGATCATTGGTACCGGTGGCCATCACCGACTTGTTACGCTTTGTCTGTTCCCGCTTCCGATTTTCAGTATCGACGTCGATCATCGCCGCTACCTTCTACACTTTTGCAGCACGAGGGTCGTCGCGACCGAAAATAGCTAGAAGAGTCTCATCATGGTTTTGTACGTTCATTCTGCGGCGGTCATGCAAATACATCGCCGCACGTCAAATTATTTATGCAAAGTTTAGCAGCGTAACGAGCCTTGATGATTTCGCTCAGGCGATTAAAGTGGTAAGACATTGCGATGAGGACGTAGAATCGACAACTCCAACGCGAAAAAGAGTATGCAGACTCACACAGACGCCGACAACGTGACATTCGAATGGTTTGTTGACGCGGGACGCGGTGCTTCTTGCCCGTACTCCATTGCGCGTGCGTTCCAACTGTCGTCTGCTCTTTCAAACTTGGCTGCTTTTTGTCGTCAGTTCGTTCAAACGACAGCGGCTCGTAAACCAAACATTGACCCGGTAATTGCGATAAGAACTAAGTGCATGCCTCAAAACACTTTTGAAGGTTGGTTGGGGTAAGTCGGCTAAGTGTAAACAGAGACAAGAAGTTGTTGATCATTGTTACCAGTGGCCATCACCGACTTGTAATGCCCGATTCTACTTGAGGTTTTCAGTATCGATGTCCACCATCTCAGCTACGGTCCACGCTTTTGCAGTCCGAGCGACGTCGCGACTGAAAATAGCGAGCAGAATCTCGACGTGGGAGTCAGGCTTTAGCGCCCATTCTGCGGCGTCCACGTGAAATGAATCGCCGCAAGTCACATTATTCACGCAAAGTTTTGCCTCGATAGTTTTGCTGAAGCCGCTCAAGTAGTCAGACATTGTTAGGAGGACGTAGAATCAACAATTCCAACGCGAAAAAGAGCACGGGGATTCCCACCGACGCCGACAACAACGCAATTCAATGGTTTGTTTATGGGCGACGGCGGGCTTCTTGCCCACCATCCACGGCGCATGCGCGGCGCCGGTGACGTCCGCTAGGGGCGCTCCGGTTTGTTTGTAAACATGAGTTGGTGTATAGGCGGGTTTGACTGTACAGTGAAATGTGTAGAGGTTTCCTTGTTAGTGACTTGCTGAATCTAGGCGAATCTACCGCCTAGTTGTAAAAGGAAGCATCCCTGCCTGTGTGGGGATCAATCTTTTTACAACTTTAGCAGGCAAGAATTTTGAATGTGTTTCGATGTACCAAAAGCAGTACACAAAAAAGGCGTCATTAATGGACGAGCAACTTTTTAAAACGTAAGTATTTCCTTTCATTTTCTGCACTTACGCACAGACGCTGGGGCAGCTGGTCTGGACCGGAGGGCAACAAGTATGCCAGCATGAAGCTGGACGGCGGCATGGCCTGCTGGAACGGACCCTCGCGTTCTGTTGTGGTGAGTGCCGTTTTCTGCCCGAACTCTTCGGCGCCATGATCGTGCGTGCGGAAAGCAAATGTTGCGTTTCAGCAGGAAGCTTTCTTTCTGGCTTCCAAGTGTCACGAATAATATGGTTAGATCTCACTAGACCTTTTTCTGACGCCCCTCAGTGCACTTGTGTTTGTCTTATGAGTAACGTAAACTGCACCAATGCACGAGGCAGTGCATCACTTGCTCGTGGCACGTGTCTCCCACGTTCGCGCAACAGTGACTGTCAGTTCTTACAGGAAACTCTGATTGTGGATTTTATCCAGGGGCTTTACCTTTTTTGAATAATGAGCACCGTCTGAGGGGTTGTCTGTGAACTACGAATAAGGGGCCACCCAACATGCCTCCACCCACTACTCTCCACCCCATTGACTCCCCCTTGGGTCGGCCTGGGTTCGGAGAGTATGGGGAATGACGCGCTGTGGCCGGTCACGTGTCATTTTTCCGGTTAAATTTAGCGGTTAAACTGAATTTATATGTAGGTCACATGACCTCAATTTTTCTGCTAAATTTAGCGGGGAAACTGAATTGTCGTTGAGGTCATGTGACACGAAGTATGCGACATAATTTTTTGTGCTAAACTTAGCGGGGAAACTGAATTGTTGTTCAAGTCTTGCGACATCTCGGGCCTTGGCTTCACGAAATGCAGCTTCATGAAATACGGCTTTACGAAATCTGGAGCCACTGGCCAAAGAATGTTTTACTTTAAAAGACAAGATGTGCACAAACACAGGGGCCGACAACATTGGTCGTGCGGGAGGTTGCCCCTCCGAGACTGGCGACAGCACAAAGCGATGCTGAGGGAGAGGGTGTACACGTGAGCAGAGGCATACTAGAAAAAGGCCCATTAGGAAAATGTCACTGAAATATTCCCATAGACTTGCACTTCAATAATTAAAATGGCGTAATAGGTGGGAAAAAGAAAGAGGATAATGTCCAGTCTCGTTCTCATTTGTGCTTTTTGACGCTACCATTCCCTTTTTCAAGAAATTGATTCAGAGTCTCCTACGAATCAATAGGGAGATTTATTAGATCGTTCTTCTCCTCCGTTACGATATCCGTAATGAAAATGCTGCAACTGCGCATGCGTGCCGCCTGTTTTATCTGCTCAGTTCAAGGTCTTGTGGCAGATCACGAAGCGCTATGCAGGTGGCTTAGCGGGCTGCGGAAATGGTCTACTAAAACTCCCTATTGTTGGAGCCTGTGCTGGTTGCTTTGCGCCATAACTCTTTTAGTCGATGACAGGATAAGAACTGCACAGGACAAGAACTAAACAGCATAAGACTGGTATCCCGTCTCCAGCATGCGCTCATTGCCTTTGCTCGTGCTTCGGCTGCATGTGCACACTTTAGGCTATGGAACATGGGAAGCTTGCCCTGGAAGTGGGACAACTGAAGCTCCTCGCTACCACCCCCGTCCTGTCAGTGACTATAGCAGGAATTTCTTTAAAAAAGGACCCTCAAAAGAAAACTTAGACACAAGTTACTTTTGGAAAACTATGCCGAATCAACTTTGCGAAGTCGTGACATTCCACTCTTTCTGCAGCATAGAAAAATGTTGGAGAGTTTTGAAAAATGTATGAATAATTTTCGGTACAGTAAACTCCGTTAACTCGAAATCATAAAAACCGGGGAAAATTTGGAGATAAGCGGAGTACTGAAATATCCTAAGTACCGGCCGAGGATTTAAAAAAAAATCTAGAGTTGCTGTCAAAACAAGATGGGAGGCGGCTGAACGGTGTGGCGACCACAGGATCAGGAGAGCCTCTAGAACGCCACAAGCCAGCACAATCATAAAGAAAAAGATTGGAAGAAAGCTAAAGAAAAGTCGCCGGAGATGGGGGGAAAGCCAAAAGCAAGAAAACATGCATCCTTAAGGGGGGACATGGGCCTAAGCAGTGATGCAATTGCTGCGCCAGTTGTGTCAAACTGCGCCAAGGGGTTAACCCTGCTACATCCTGCTACATTTTGCCAAAATAGGGGTAATCTGCGCCAAGCCTGCGCCAAAGGACCAATTTCGGTCGCCTTTCAAAACTGAAACTAAACTGAGTACCGCAATTGAGCAATTGAGCCCGACACTAGTACCCTGCATTAATCGTCCATCGAGTCTTGCATGGTTTTCTCTCCGTCTCGCGTTCTCGTCTCGTAAATCTCGTCTCGCGCCTTTTTTTTTTTTTTTTTAGACACGGGTGTATGCAGACGCTCCGACGCTAGCGTGCCAGGTACCAACCATGCTGTCATGCTGTGAAACAAAACCACATTTCTGCGCGCCGGGAGTCACTTTGTGAGCTGAAGCACTCTCTCCTAAAAGTAACGGCCGCGGGAAAAATATTTGGTCCCTGCCTTTCAGTCACCATGGTTGCGCGACAGTGGGTGTTGCCGTCCCCACGTCGTGCTGCTGATATGGCGCTTTCTAAAATTAAACTAAGTACCGCTGCATCTTCATCAACATTCTTGTTCTTGTTTACTACAAAAATCCCTCTTTAACTCAAAAACTGCTGTATCGAAGTATTGATTACCTAGGTTTCTCTGGGTGGGCTTTCTTTCGAGGGGGACCCTGGTACGTGAAAATCTGCCGCGAAAGAAGGTTGATGAAAAGAAGTTAGCTAAAAGCAAAGAAGGCAATGTCTGCACGCTGAACCTGCACTGCGTGCTTGTTTGTCTCGAGTTCAGTCATTGCACAAAGCGCTCCAAAAACTTTTTGACTCTGGCTCGCAATGTCTTGCATCGATAGCTTGGGGACTTTTTAGAGCGCAGCTCTTAGGGGCCCGTTTCCGGCTTGAGCAGCGTCGGCGTCACCAAGGTCACCCCAAGGTCACGTGACCCCCAGGACACGTGACCCCTCTCAAGGTCACGAGACCCCCTAGGTCACGTCACCCCTCCCAAGGTCACGTGACCCCCAGGTCATGTGACTCTCCCAGGTCATGTGACCCCCAAGGTCTCGTGATCCTCCCAAGGTCACGTGACCCCCAAGGTCTTGTGACCCCCCGAGATCACGTGGCCCCCCAGGTCACGTGACCCCCAGGTCTCGTGATCCCCAAGGTCTCGTAATCCTCCCAAGGTCACGTGATCCTCCCAAGGTCTCGTGACCCCCCGAGGTCACGTGACCCCCCGAGATCACGTGGCCCCCCAGGTCACGTGGCCCCCCAGGTCACGTGGCCCCCCAGGTCACGTGGCCCCCCAGGTCACATGGCCCCCTCCCCGAGGTCACGTGACCCCTCTCCCCCCTCCCCTTGAGGTCAGGTGACCCCCCGGAGCATATTAAAGAATGAGGGGAGGAGGAGGAGAAGGAGGAGTCTACCCTCCCCTCAGTACCCTTCCCTCCTCCTCCTCAAGAGCTGCGCTCCAATTCGGCGTTACAGGGAGTATTTGTATATTTAACTTGCACCTTGTTTGCCGGCCTGGCAAGCACATGCCACTGGACTGTTTATTGTCGTATGCTCGACAGTTACATCTTGCACACAATTTTGGGGATCAGTTGGCGATGGAGCGGAGTGACATGGTTTCGGTTTCGATCGAACAGCCGTTGTCTCAGCTCGCACGACGAAGCATGCGCAACTGCAAGCCTGCCGAAGTAGGCCTCATGTGCACGCGAACATGATTGCACGACAGATGCACCAGCCGCCACGCTTGCAATCCATTGTTTTACGTTTGCTTACTTTTGACGAAAATCTGGCTTGTTGGCAACCAGTCAAACGGTGGCAAGCGGTTTTTCGAAATTGCTCGGCAATGCCTAGAGCACTGTACTCTTGTGGGATGTCTCAGCAGTAAAAACACAAGCAGCGAGTTCCGTCACAACACGCCACATCAGAACACAACGCATCACAAAGTGCCCTTTGTATGTACAGCACTAAAAACAAATGTTTTTATTTTTCTAAGAATATCTGGTCCAAAAGCCACTTTTGCTGTTCCGAAACATTTTCTTGGCTGCTCCAAAAGCCACTTTTGCTGCTCCAAAACACCGTATTGGTTGCTCCTAAGGCCATACTTGCTGCTCTAAAACACTGTTTTGGCTGCTCCGAAAGGTGCTTTAAAATGGCTTAGGCCAGTCACATCACTGCCTAAGTTTCAAAATGTTCTTAAGAAATTCATTTTTCAATTTCGAGGTTTTCGGTTTTAGAAACTAATTATACACCCTTACACTAAATTTCATAACTATGTGCCAAATAGTTACGTTCATATAAAATATTTTCAACATATTGCGAGGCAGTAACAAGGTACAGGAGTTCTATGTGTGAATACATTTTTCTCAGTTTCACTTTTTGCTGCAAATTTCACACGAAGGAATCTTTTGTTCGAAGGTAAAATTATTCTGTTACCACAATCATGATGTTGCTGAACTGAAATTTACTGGGGATTTGGGCTATCTACATTATTTTGTTTTACATTATAGTCCTCATTGAGAAAAAATATTCTTAAAAATTGACATAGGACAGATATGCATCGTATACTTTGAGGTAATCACTCTTCCTTAAATATTTAAATTTGAGTTATAAAAACTAGATAGCCCGAAGTTCCACATCCCCCACTTTGTATTCAAGCAGTCAAAATGGTGCTTAATAGCTTCATTTGCATATCATAGATTTCTTAACGAAGAGTGACACAAAATCTCCTCTCCAAATTTCATTCCGACCACTTGAGTAGTTTAGAAATTCAACCTCTAGTCACTGTGCCCCCTTAAATCGTCGCTCGGCAGATCGCGTTCTGTGCACCCACCCAGAACGCGTTTGTGGCGCTTCCATCTTTTATTTTTCTTCCATGATCCTCTCTCCCCTTGTTAACATTATTTCTGGGTCACAGTCGCTTCGTCGGCTATGGAGATTTCTCCTTTGGCCTCAGTGTCCTTTCAGGAATATTTATTATTATTTTTTATTTTTTTTATTTTTGCAGGCAAAGTTTTGAGATATACGATGCTCGTCAGGGAAACTTTTCGAGATAAGCGATGTCAGAATACATGGTGCCTATGGGGATCCATTTCGCAACGCACAAAATTTCCGACTTAAAGGGCAACTCCGCTCAATTCCGAAAAATTTAGGCTTCCATGTGATTCACATTCACAAAGTAATACTCAACAACTCTACGTCTTCGGATTCGCGAAATGTGGAATAATATTTGTGTAATCCTAATTTAAACATCAGCAGATACCGAAACCGAAACTTCGGTTGCGTCAGGCAACATTGGTCTCGGGTCGTCACAGTCATGGGCACCTCACGTCGAACCACGTGGTCTTGTGACGTTTGGGAGGGAGCGAGAAACAGGACACGCAACGCGGGCAGGTCCTTTTTTTTTTTTTTTTTGGACGCGGGCAGGTTGCTTTGCATGGCGTGGACGGTGATGGCCCGGGGGAGAGGGGGAAGGGGAGAAGACGAAAGAGGAGAAGGGAGCGGAGAAACAGACCGATAAGCGCGCAGGGCAGCGGTGATCACGTGAACGCCCGGTCAGCCAACACCGGGAGGAGAAACTCATGACGTCATCGTTAAATTTCGCTCCGAAAAGTAAAAACAAGCAAAACGTGAGAATGAAGTATGCATGCCTCTGACGTAGTGGTTCAGCGTTGGCCGCTCCAACTCCGTGGCATTGACTGCGCTGATGATTGCGCCTCGCGCCGCACGCTAGAGTTGGCAGATTTCGGCGACTTGGCTCGCTTGAAGGTTCGCTGGCCAGTTTATTAAATATATAGACGGAATTAGATCGTAATATTTGACATGGGGTCTTCCTATATGATACTGAAGAGGGTACATAGTTTTCTAAATATCAAAAATGAAGCGGAGTTGCCCTTTAACCAATCTTTTGAGATATTCATGTTAGAGTTAATAAAGGTTTACTGTAGTTTAAATTTAAAAAAAAAAGAGTGCCGACTGTTCGAGAGAAAACCGTTTTATGGGAAGTTAAAAGTGACTCCCAAGTTTGGCAGTATCTTGGTGATCTTTAAAGCCTGACTTCAACTCATGAAGGGCCTTTGTTTTTTTGGCCAGGTGTTCTTGAAGTGTCTTTTTTTTTTTTTTTTGTATGGTACGAGCTGAGCTATCTATGGATGCATAATTGTGAGCCATACTCAGTACTGTTTACAAGGTCTGTACGCTTCTGTGCCGCCTATTACACCATTGTGGAGACAGGGAGGGGTTCCTAGAGCTTGATAAGTTTCAGAATCTTTCACTTGACGTTATTACCCCGAAACTCGGGAAACCTAAAAGCTGGTTCACACGTTTGCATTTGACTTTGCTCGAGCTGCTTGCGACGAAAGTATACACAGACTCCATCTATGTATCGGGTAGCCTGGAAGCTGCTTATGACTAGACCGAAGGTTTTGCAGCATTTGGAAGTTCAAGTAGTACACATGACATTTGTGACAAATAATTGCCTACAACATTATCAGAATTATTTTAAAGTCACAGTATAAATATTGTGTAAAAAAATTTTAAAAATAGTCTTGCCGATTAAGCAGGCTATTTAACGAATGACGCCAGTGCGCCTGTCTGTTCAGCGGTTACAGGGGAACGTGCCACACATCAGCGTAGCCAGACAGCAGAATTGCTCCGTTTTGCCTGTACTCTTCTCTTTTGCAAAATTAAAATTCAGTGGAGTGCTCTGCCCTAGCCTCTTGTCAACTGTTGTATCCCTGAATACCTATTGCTCAATAACCCAGGCGTCAGTCAATGAGGATGCTGGGAATATGGGTCTATGTGGCACACGCTCACCTTCCCCGTATATAAGATGCGAAGTAAATAACCAAAATAAGGCGTTGACGAGTGCGCGTGCAAGGTGACATTTGTTTTAGGCTCTTGCCTTACAACTGTTGCGGATGCCAGCACTTGCAGCATGCTGGCCCACATTCCCAGCATTCTCGTTCATGCTTGGGTAATTTAGTGTTAGGTCGATTGTTTGAAATCCGGTTAAATGAACCCCTTAGTTAAAGGAGCTGTGCAACGATTTTAATGTTGAAAGAATTGGTATTTTCTGCTTTTGATATTGTTCACTGTGTCACAAATGGCCAGTCTTGGGTAAGTTACTTTTAAAAAGTAATTTGTTACAGTTAGTTTCAGAAAAAAGTAGCCAAGTTACAGTTACCGAAACAAAAATGTAACTCGTTACAGTTACAGCTACTTCTAAAAAGTAACGACATTACTTTTCAGTTACTTTTCTATGACATAAAAATTAGGAAAAACTAGAAAACGCTTTTCACCAAGTTTCTTTGCATAAAAAAAGTGTGCTTTTTACTTAATATTGTAACTTAGCAGCAGTTGCTTTTCAAAATTAGTGTCTGAAAGTTTCCCTCGTTTGATAATGAACACGTCCTTGCCCTTGCTGAACAGGCGCTCGTCTGACAAGCTGGATGGGATTGCTGTGTTGTCTCGCCAAAATAGGTTTTTGATTGTCGGGTAGGCGTTAAGGCAACAGAGTGCCGTTTTCTGTGTTCAAGTTGTTAGTAACCACCTCCACCACAGCAAAATACACTTTGTACGCCGGCCATGGTAGTTCTTTTTTGTTCTTATCAACATTCATATCCTTGGTAGCACTAGCATATTGCTGGCTCGTTGACAATTGCGCTGGGTTCATAGAGTCCCTGGGTATATTTAAGTTTGTACCCGGCAAGCCAGAAACAACCCCCGTGCAAAGAGCAGTAAATTTTGTCTCAACTGCTGACACTACACCGGAGTAGTGGCGCAAATCAAAATACGAAACATGCGCAGTGCGGAGTGGTGGCGCTAATCAAGATACAAAACATTCGCTGTGCCCTCCGCGTGTATTGCTGTTTCACGCTTGATTCACAAGAATAAAAGGCGTTTTTACAGAAAAAAAGGAAAACCGCAAAAGAGATAGTTCTTCAAGATACTAAGATGCAAGTGTTTAGTCACAAAGTACAAGTGCGTGCTAAAGATAACTGCTCTTTTTTTAACCAAATCTACCCGTGGCTATATTCAGGTCGTGAATGCCGACAAAAAACGCATTCACAAGTTTGTGCAAAAAATAACGTGACACTCGAAATGTCGGAACAGACAATTTGAAAAGCGCAAAGAATGGGTAAATTGTACCTCATTCAGTGATATATTATTCGTAAAAAAACTGGAAAGTAACGACGAAAGTAACGTCGTTACTTTCAAGGTCACCTTAGAAAAAGTAATAGAACTACCGTTACAAGTTACATTTTTAAAAAGTAACTCGTTACAGTTACAAGTTACCAAAAAAGTAACGAAGTTCCAGTAACGCGTTACTACCCAAGACTGCAAATGGCAGAAAACACACCTCCTTTCATCGAAATTTTGCGATTCCGCCGCGTAATAGCGAGGCAAAACTTTGAATATTTCCCGACCTGCAGCCACGAGCGGCGGCCATGAGAAACAAAGCGGCGTGACGTCACTTGGGTAGTTGTAAAAGAGATAGCAAGTTGTGCGAATACCTGCTCGATTAAAGGTAACTTTTCTATAAATCTTGTCGTTCCATTATATATATAAATGCGTCAAAACCCTAGTATCATCGACAAAACTTTTATTATACGGAGTTTTAGTGGCACCATCTATCCTAGGTCCACAAAACCGCGAATAGCCGCCAGAAGCCGGAGGGGGAGGGGGACAGCGCCGGACGGGCAAAAACGGGATGGCCGGACTCAAATGAGACTTTCCTCCTTTCACCGCATATTTCGCGGGGCGCCCGCCAGCACGTGGTCACGCGGTCGCGAGCGGATGAGTTCTCACTGCTCGCTGATGACTCTAAAGAGAGAAGTTTTCCGGAACCCCGCGCCTTCTCAAGTGACGTCACTGCGCACGTGACCCGGAAGATGATGTACGAGTTGAGAGGCGGTAAAAACCTGGATCTTTTTCATTTTTTTAAATAAAAACTAGGGTATCCAGGCAAAATCTGTTTTCTGTAGTTCACTACAGAAGTGTCAGGCATCAACTTCCACAATTATTTAAGCAAAGCCCTGAAATTGTTGCACAGCTCCTTTAAATTGTTTAAGTAGGTGAGTCAGTATTTGTGACACATATTGTTTTTGTTAAGTTTGAATGCACAGTGAATATTTGTGAACATCTTTTTTCCCTTCTGCTTTGACGAAAAGGGCCCTAGTATTCCAATTAAAAAAAGAAAAATCGAAAACGCAAATATACAATCTCTTCCTTCAGGTGGACATTCACTGCGGCCTGGAGAACCAACTGACGTCCGCGTCCGAGCCCAATCGCTGCGAGTACCACTTTGACTTCAGCACGCCTGCAGCCTGCTCGGACAAGGTCGTGGCAGGAGAAGAGGGCGCCAAGCCTCACCACGTGCACGAGGAACTTTAAGCTCATTGCCACTCGACCATTCACTTTTTTTTTTTGTCCCCTCTTCATCTACACTAAAGAACTTTTCTTGGCAAGTTGGGTGTCGGCAAACTTCTACATTTTCGCGGTGGGAGAAAGAACCATTCAGTGAGGTGTGTTGGAAGCATGTAAATTGCGTTGAATGGACGGACGTGTGCACACGTGGCATTTGATTTGTGTGGTATGAGACTGAGAAAGTGCCCGTACAGGGGGCGCTGGTAGCTCTGCAAAAGAGTGTCATGGTAATTCCTTTTTTTTTTTTTTAAGTTTTTTTTTTAGGGTTCAAGCTTGCAGATTGAACGAGTTCTCTCAGGTTTCCCAAATATTTAACGACAAATGTTTCGTTGAGTTTTTGTGCGTCACTCTTAAGCTCGGCTGTATGCCAGTGTCCAAATGAAGTTTTCTCAGTAAAATGGAGCTGTTCAGTGCACCTGTCTTGGAGTTTCTGTACAATCTTCACAAAATGAACAGTGGTTCTCAAATGGAGATGCACAGACCCTTTCTCCTTAGGGTTCCCTAAGCCCTCAACTATTAGTCAAGCTAAACTACTGTAATATCCAGTCATCGCAACCCCCACCGCCTGAAATTCTCGGGGGAAAAAAAAAAAGGAGGGTGGGCCGTGACTCGGGGACTCGGCTCAAAAAATTTCCCAAAAGATAAAAAAATGCTAACTTTTTTTGTCCGCATCTATTGTGGCTAGACAGGAAATACACTGAATTCAGATCTCGAGTTGCTATCATACTTCCAAGATTCATAAAACAATGTTTTACTGTCGAGGAAAGCGGGAGGGGGGGGGGGGCTAAAAAATTTTAAAGGGACCTCGCTCTTTATGCTTTTTGTAAAATCAAAATTTTGCCAGTCTTTCTATCTTCTTTTTTTTTACTACTTTGGGCCCTGACTTGATGTGATAAGAATTAAAATGACACTGCCCCGCCAACGTTCTGCCATTTTTAATAGAGCAAGAGAATAAGTACAATGTCGTTCCCGTTGTTCCATTAACTCGGGAATTAACAGAGCTCAACAGGTTTCTAAAAAAAATAATCGGTTAATTGGGCAGTTCTTGCTTTCCTCACGATTTTTATTACAACACTGAGCAGATACTTGTCTTTTAATGGTGATATTTTTTTGAAGGCAAGAATCCCGAGCTCGTAGCTCTATATTTGGTGGTTGCACTGGCTGATCGAGAGCTTGCGCAGCCGAGATCTATCCTTCAACGAATAGCCCGCACTTGCAGCCTATTAGTGCAACAGTTCTACATTACGAAAATGCTGGGAAACAAACAATAAAGCGAAACAAGGGGCAGATGAACACAGATAAGTATAAACCATGTGAATATGTTAACCCATTCGGGGGGGGGGGGGGGGGCTACCGCGTACTGCTGGGTTGTTCGTACCGCATGTTTTCCCCCTAAAACGGCCACACTAGGCGCGACTGGTTTGCTTGTATTTAATAAGCTTTTACAGTAAAACTCAGTGCGGAAAACAAGAAAACATGTTTATTTACACGCTTAAAGGGACACTGACAGGGTATTTATGCTCGCCGAGGTTTTTAGTTGTACGTGACATATGAGAGCTCAACTACCCAGAACAGAATTTGCGGCTCGAAATTCGGTTTCTTTCCGCCCGCAAAACCGCCGATCAAGAACTGGCCGGTTTGGGTCTCGCTCACTCTCTTTTTCGAGGTCACGGGCCGTTTTCTAAGGTATCGATGCGACCACCATATTTATTCAAAGTCGTGGGTCACTGAAGGCACACACTCAATATTAAAAATAGAAAAAAATATGAAACCCATTTTTTGTGGTTTCTAAAAAGCTGTAAATACGTTGATTGAAAAAAAAAAGTTCCACAAACAACCGGAAACATTCTGTGCGTTCGTCGTTTCGCGTATCGTGGGACTCGCGGGGACGGCGATGGCAGCGGACGACGGGCGTGGGGCCTCTATTTCAGAACTGTCGTTCGCGGTACCGGCGCATTCTGTCTACCTTTAAAAGAGAAATTTGGAACTGATCAAAAGAATTGGTATTCATCCCGTACGACACGCCCGGCCACCAAGCCGATTTGCACGAAGACGTCGCCGAGCCGTCTCTCCCTTCTCGTGGCTGAAGACATCGCTCGCGCAAACGTCAAGCACGACGTGTCTACTTCGAGTTGAATATGCACGCGTACGATTTCTTTACTAGGTGCGAATGTCCCCAAAGCGTGGTGCTTCCCGACTTCGACTCGGGAGTGCTTTTGCTAGAGAAAAATCGACAGCAAACTTTCCAACTTACAGTTTACCGGCTTAATTATTACAAAGGACCGAGATCCACCAGTAAAGAGATCCCCCAGTAGCGCAGTGGGAAAGACGTCCGGTTCACACGCGGTAGGACCAAATTCGATCCCCCGTGAAACTTTTTTTTTTCAAGCATTTCCCGATGTTTACGTATCTTTTTTCTTTTTTTACAATCATCACTGAAGAAACAAACCAATGTTGCGGACGATACTTCGCTGAATTAAATGGTATGTGATTTCCTTTTTGACACCTGCGAACTCAATGTAATCACTTTCCACAAAATGCAAGGAGCATATAAATCAGGTAGCGTCCGCTTTCCGAGGTGCCCGTATATGTTCTACAGGAATTGCAGCCAGCCAATGGTCCCGATCCCGTTGATCTTTCGGAAACTCTGTCGCACAATGCCACTTTTTTTCGGACGCAGGACATGTGAGCCAGCTCTTCACGCAACATCTTGGGTGTCTTGTAAACCCTGAGATGGGGAACGATAAAAAAAACGGACCTCTTTTCGGAGCCGATCATGGAAATTCACCACGGGCACTCGCTACTCATCTCCGACTCCTCAATGTACAAAACAACTCATCTTGGAGTACAGAACAACGAGCGTAACAAACATAACTGCAAAAGAATCGCCCGGCGAGCAGTTCCCGCACGCTGCATCGCGCGCCGCATGTCGTGTCGTCTGCTACAAAGAGGAGAAAAAACAACAAAAAAAAAAAAACGCACGGTCGGGTGTAGCCACGTGACTTCCGCCACTAACTCTCTTCTCTCCACTTCTCCGACCTCCGTTGGGTTTCGGTTTCGAGCAGTTGCGTCTTTCGGCTTTATTAAAAAAATACGCTACTCTGTTGCAAAATATTAATTGGGTAGTCCTCCGACACCATAATAAAGCCCCTGGCAAAAAATGAAAAAAAATTTTTGGGGGGTGTCAGTGTCCCTTTAAGTGGTTTGTTCAAGTCTTTAAATCAATAGGCCCTCAAAAATTTTTCCTCGTATGAAAGATCTCTAAGCACTCCATGCACAGTTGCTTAGGTGTCGCACGATCGGTGCACCCTTCTCGTGATTCGGACTCGGAACTGCTGTTGGAATCGCTCCCGTTGTCTACAGAAGGCTCCGAAAACTCCCTATCCCCACCAGATGTCTTGTCATCATAGCTGTCAGAGAGGATATCTCCGATTTCACTGTTGGAAAGGCCACACCATACCCTGGATGCTGCCATCTTCTCCAAGCAGGCAGCGATCAAGTGGGAAAGACAACACACAAAAGAACAAGCTCAAACAGACAGCGAACAGAACAACCCTTGCCATCTGTTGGCAATGTATCTAACTACACTACCCCAAGTCTACATAGCGCCATCTATGAATGACTCTTTAAAACAGAAATTCATGCAGACCGGCAAATCGCCGGTTTTGGCAATATGGCCCCTGACGAGATGCCCGGCGGCATGCCCGGCGGTTCGCCGGCTTTGGTAGCGAATGGATTAAAGGGCAGAGCTACTTTTCGAGGGGAAATGAGTCGACGAGATGAGATCACCGGGGCGCATGCCATTTTTAGCGCTCGACACGTGGGAACCGGGACTTGTAGCTGGTTACCTGCGGGCCGCAGACCACATGTCTGAGACCCCTGATTTACTGAGTATTCCCAGAATGTTTCATTAGTTTACACTGCATAGTTCATTTTTTAGAAATAAATCTCGGTCCACCGATGCCAAAGAAAAGGTCGAGGTTGGAGCACTTTGAGCGCATTTCTCTCCTTTCCACTTTTTGGCATTAATTTCACTTTAGGAAAACTATCGTTTGTTAATGGGATAAAAAGACTCTTTCATTGTTTTTCCCGACAGGATTTTTGTGGGCAATGCAACTGTGGAATTGTTCTTTGACTTTGTCGATGTCTTTGTTCAAATTTTTCATCGCAATGTTAGCATGAAATAAATTACTTTTTGGAAATTCTGTTTTCACAGTTGCACTTTTCAGGTAATGTGCTTTAGATGTAGAAAAAAAGGGGGTATTACATTAGTTTCCTAACGATAGTTTTCCTAAACAGTCAGTGTGTTCCTAATAAAAACGACTATAACTCACTTTTTTTTTTTTTACTTCTGGGGGCATTAGGGTCAAGGAGTTGCCGGGGCATTGTTACCATGCTGACCAAGGTTGCTTCCGATTCTCCAAACTATTTTTCTATGCGTGCTCTTCTTTCTTCTGAGAAGTGTTACATAGTCGGGGACTCGAACAAGGTGGCGTGCCAGGAGTGGAGTTGGAGCATCTTGTGCCGCAGGTCCTTAGGCAGGGGTTTCTTGAGTCATTGTTTGGTGGCATTCAAAACCCGCTGCTAACCGTCTCTCTTCCCTTAGCGTACACAGTACACCCAGCCGGCGGTGTACTGTTGAAACACGAGCCTGGCGGTGGTTGACTTGAAATAGTAGGATAACTTGCGTAGTGAAGTTCAACAGATATTTTAATGCGTCTGCGGCTGCGCCCGTTATATTGCACGGCTCAAGGGTACGTCATCAGCCGACGTGAGAGCGACCCGCCCCTGCTCTGGTGATCCGGAACCCAGACGTGGCCTCGCTGTGCCGACCCAGACTTCGTACACCTGCGGCTCGTCTCGAGCGCGCTGTTTCTCGGAGAGCTTGTACCTGTGCCGGCAATATCAGCAGGGTTCGTACAGAATATTTGACTGAAAATTCAAGGAGTTTTCAAGGATTTCAAGGGTGAAAAATGGCAAAATTCAAGGAGTGTTAGCAAAATTTTATTTGCTTACAAGACTTATGGAAGCAGCGCAGTTTTCGCATGGATTTCTTTTTCCACAGAAGCTATCTCCAGCTCCTTTTCTGTTTGCTGTTTGCCTTGACTAAGTAGGTAAGGTCGTTTTTCGCTTCAGCTTCTTCCGAAAAACGGTCCGCAGATTCCAGCAGGCACTTGAGAGTTTTTTGAAGCTTTGACTTCCTTCCGTGCATCTTATCAAGCTCTTGCTCGAGCTCTTCTCTCTTTGAAGCTGCGTGTCGTGACAGTGCTTGTTTCTTTTGTTCGTCTAGGTATGCAGCGTACCTATGCCGGGCTTGGCGCACTGACGCCTTCAACTCTTTTGAAATCGGAACGTTCAGCAGGCCACCATGGCTTTTCACAGCCTCGCAGATAACTCGTTGAGAAATATACGACAGCTC